ATAATGAGTTGATTTTACATTTGGCAATCATTTTGTTTCCCACTAGACCATACAAACAAAATTAGCAAAATATTATAATGAGCTTCTATATTTTTAACATAATTAGCAGTTAGCACCTACTGCTATCCATGCTGAAATGCGGATTAAGTGAGAAGACTTTCATAACATATAGACTATAACAGGTCTCCACAGCTGCGATTAAATTTTATAGTCAGCTTTGAAGTAATTCCATGGCCCATCTCAAAGCTATCTGTGGGCTATCTTGTGATAGTGATAAATTCCATTAATTAGTTATGAATATTATAAATAAATGCTTTTAGGTATGAACTCTGGGTTCTCTTTCCACCTATTTGAAAGTCCCCAATCTGCAATGTTAGTTTTTCTGTCATTGCTGAGAACCAGAATGCTATGTAATTTTCAAAATGAGGCTGCATCATGAAGTAGATTAGGGGTCCCCAATCTTTTGCAGCCTGCAGACATTTTTGCAGCTTGGTATTAATGCCCATTTGTCAGCAGATAAATGGCTGAGTTTGATTCAGGGTCCTCCTCTAACTTGTATTTCCTCCAGGATTTCCCCCATTGCCCACCATTTTTATTTCCTAAAAATGCTTGTGAGCTCTAATGCATATTAAATATTGGCAGTTCTAGAAATTGCTTTTTCACATTCCATTTTCTTTATTAATTTGTTTATTTTGGTAAGCAAAGCATTTTGTTAAAATAAATAAAGTCATACAAAACACGGAGCTTGGCAAATTCTCATGGACCCCAAAATAAGGCAAAGTTGAGAAAGCCAAAACTATCAGTGATTACTATACATGCTTGCTCCAGGTTGGAAAAAAAATGCCACAGAATACTTGATTATGGATTCATTCTCACATTCCTCATACAGTAGCACCTTTAGAAAAGGTTTACAAAAGTCATCTCCTCATGACAGGTAGAAAGATTTCATCCTAATCTTTGACAAGCTTTTGGATGTATCTTTTGGTGATGAATCTGAGTTTATAGCACTGGATGTCCACTTCTGCATCCCATTTAATACAGAAGCCCCATTAACATCCAATGAATTTCTCCTTTTGGGAACTTGTGAAATTCTGTGTTTCATTCCTGTGAAGAGATTAAAGCACTTTTCTATTAGCTTGTAGCAAGATATATTTGTGTGTGGAAGGATTGAAGATTGAAGGATTATACTGAAACACTATAAACCAGATGTCAATATCCAAGATATTAAAGCACATTCCTTAGTTAAAAGAACCTCTAGTACTAGAAGATGAAGTTAGATCAACATTCCAGTCATTACGAAGTTGGAATGCTAGAGGAACTAGTTCTCCTCCCCCCCAAACCACAGCTTATCTCAGGGGAAACTGAGTTAAAAACAGCCAAACACCTAACAGTTATGGTAAGGCCTCATCCTCTCTTCTGTCTACTGTACTACATCCTTGGAATATAGATTTCTATATAGAGTTGGTTTCTGTGTACACAGCAGAAGGCAGATGGACTGTGTTTACAAGAATGTCTACAATAAAGCTATTATCTATCTACTTCATGACTATGAGCTTCAGCCACCAACAAGTTCAGAATATGGGGTTAAGTGTTTGAAGAACCAAGATTTATTGCCATATGCTGCATCAAATCTGACAGGAAGGTCTGCATTTTTCTACTTTCAATAATTTGAGACCAAGTTTAAATCATGGTTACAGAGGGTTTTGCAATTTTTCTATCATGATCAAGTCACCAATGCCTTGCTCCATTATCAGAACAACACAGTGATCCAGACAGACCAGGTAGTTTGGTTGATGAAGTAGCTAGACCAGT